CAGGTTTGACTCTGTAGTCAGTGACGATTCGGGAAAGAGTAGATTCTCGTGGCAAGGGCAGCCAACGAGAATGCAACACGATCCAGGCCCTAGCGTCAACATCATCAACCACGGTGTTCCGTACACCTGCAACCGTCAAAGAAAGACGACTGTACGTAATGATAGATTCCGGAGCGAGCGGAAACTTCATATCGACGGCTACAGTTGCTCGATTTAGGATCGCTACCAAATCGAAAGAACACGGGTACGAATTAATGGCTGTAGACGGATCAGCTTTACCCGGTGTTACAGAAGAGACTCTACCAATAGAGCTCGTTGTTCAATCGCACCATGAAGACATCATTCTAGATGTTGTGGAAATGGCCAATCACCACATCGTTCTAGGAATGCCTTGGTTGAAACAACATAATCCAACCATCGACTGGAGGTCGAAAGTGTTGAGATTTCAGGGATGCGACTGCGTGGTCGATCCGCGACCTACGCACCGGCAGCGTTCGGTGGTAGATGAGAGGAAAGGGCACAATCAGGCCAAGACAGCATTAGTTGCAGTCACCTCGACTAAGGCATCAGTGGAGAACCATGATACCGGCTCCGCAGGCACCGATCTTGGAGGTCAGACGGGCCACGAAGCGAGAGTTATTGAAGGAAGTCACGCACCTTCTGATATCCCTGAACAATACAGCAAATGGAAACGCTTGTTTCAGGAAGAGGCGAACGCGGACGCGTTACCTAGGCATCAGCCGTGGGATCACGAAATCAGACTCGAACCAGGGAAGCAACCCACATTTGGACCCATCTATGCGTTATCCGAAAAGAACTCAAGACGCTTCGAGAATACCTGGACGAGAACTTAGCACGAGGATTTATCCGCAAGTCGGAATCCCCCTGCAGGTTACCCAATTCTGTTTGCACCAAAGAAAGACGGCAGTCTGAGACTGTGCGTTGATTACCGAAAGATTAACGATATCACCATCAAGAATCGTTACCCATTGCCGAATATCGAAGAACTACAAGACCGCCTTGCGAAGGCTAAGTGGTTTTCGAAGATTGATCTCAAAGGAGCCTACAACCTCATTCGAATGAAGGAGGGGGGAAGAATGGAAGACTGCGTTTCGTACACGCTACGGACATTACGAATACTTAGTCATGCCATTTGGACTTACCAACGCCCCGGCTACCTGTCAGATGATGATCAATGACACGCTAAAAGAATACCTGGACAGAACAGTGGTCGCCTATCTGGACGACATCCTGATCTACACAGACGGAGACCTGAAACAACATGTCAAGGACGTACAACAAGTGTTGACCAAGCTTCAAGAACGCAACTTGAAGGCCAACCCCAAGAAGTGCGAATTTCATGTGAAGAACACCGAATTCCTAGGCTTCATCATCGGAGTTGACGGTATTCGGATTGACCCTTCAAAAATCACTTCTATCAAGGAATGGCCAACACCGAAGACACTCAAAGATGTACAATCGTTCCTTGGACTTGCAAACTACAATCGAAAGTTTATTGCAGGCTACTCCCAGACAGCGTTACCTCTCGTGGAACTCACGAAGAAGGATACTCCATTCTTATGGAAAGAAAGGCAACAGAAGGCTTTCGAAGCACTCAAACAGGCATGCATCGATGGACCTACTCTGAGAATGTTTGACTCAGGGAAGCCAGTCCACATCGAAACCGACGCATCCGACAGAGCGATTGGAGCATGTCTTACGCAAGACCACGAAGGGAAACGACATCCCGTGGCTTACTACTCACGTAAGATGACACCAGCAGAACAGAATTACGATATCCATGACAAAGAACTTCTCGCCATCGTCGCAGCCTTGCAACACTGGAGAGTTTATGCCGAAGGAGCCCCGTCTCTCACTATTCTTACGGATCACAAGAACCTCTTGACCTTTACAACTACCAAAGTTCTCAACCGTAGACAAGTAAGATGGTCGGAACTCCTCGGACAATACAAATTCAAAATCCAGTACACGCCTGGCAAAGACAACGGCCGAGCGGACGCGCTTAGTAGAAGGATTGACTACATGGAAGGCAAAGAAGCTATCGAACACAGCATCTTGCAAACGAATAAAGATGGAACACTCAGCGCACGGACACATGAGTTTAATGCCGTGTTGCGCATCATGAAGGATGATGAAGAGCAGTTTCCCATCTCACACAACAAATACCAAGTGCCTGAAGGAAATCAGGAACAGTGCATCAAGGACCACCACGATGACCCAACTCACGGTCACCCTGGCATCACCAAAACAATCGAGAACATACAACGCAACTTTGCTTTCCCTCAGATGAAGGCAAAGGTTACGGCATACATTCAGAAATGCCGCAGCTGTCAAATGAACAAATCGTCTAGGCATGCGAAGTATGGTGAGATTCAGTTTGTGGACCCACCGCTGCAGCCTTGGGACGAAGTCACAATGGATTTCATCACTGGATTGCCAACTCAACGAAGCGCTGGCCGTTCGGAGTTGCAACAACAATACGACTCGATACTAGTTATGGTCGACAGACTTACGAAGTACACGCACTTTGTTCCCTGCATGAAGTCAATAACAGCAGAGGAATTAGCACATTTGGTTCTGGATAGACTGATCAGATATCACGGGATTCCGAAGTCCTTCATCACGGACCGCGATAAGCTGTTTACGTCAAACTACTGGAAAACATTAGTCTCTGTGATGGGTATCAAACATAAGCTCTCAACTGCTTACCATCCGCAGACTGACGGACAAACCGAAAGAGCGAACCAGACGCTCGAGGCTTACCTGCGACATTATGTAAATTACGCTCAAGACAACTGGGTAATTTATCTACCAATGGCACAACTGGCACTCAATCAACAAATCTCTGCTACAACAGGGATCACGCCATTTTATGCCAATTTTGGAAAACAACCCAATCTATTTATGGAGCCAAAATTACAGCATCCAAACGCAGACAAAGCATTGATTACCAGCGATGAGCTGAAGAAGTTACATGAGCGATTACGACAAAGGATACTATCATCCCAGGACGGTTTACGCAAGAGTAGACAGAAATCGAAACCGGATCCTCAGCTAAAGGTGGGAGATAAAGTATACCTGCTCACGAAGAACTTGAGATCTCAACGGACAACTCGAAAACTGGACCACGTCAAAGTCGGACCGTTTTTGATTTCAGAAGTCAGAGGACCAGTAAATTACAAACTCCAACTTCCTGACGATGCGAAGATACACCCGGTGTTTCATATATCGTTATTGGAACCGGCTGACCCAGAAACCCCGTTGCAGACGACATTCCATTTCCAGACTGAGGAAAATGACGAATACGAAGTCGAAAAAATACTGGAACAACGAGGTCAGCGATACCTTGTTAAATGGAAGGGTTACCCACACTCAGAAAACACTTGGGAACCAAGAAAGAACCTCAGAAACTGTCAGGCGCTCCTACGGCGTTTCCGCCAAAGGAACTAACTGACGGGCCAAGATAATTAGGAGGATTGGCCTCGAAGATGTCATCTGGAAACCCGTTCACCGAAGCATGCGTGAATGGCGATAAGGGTACAGAGGACGACGCAAGAACAGAATCCCGAGGGCTCGCCTGCTTGTCGGCAGCACGCTCTCGTTGCTCGGCGCAAAGAAGGTTGCGTTCAGTGATGTGGATCACCTGCGCAGCACGCTGCTCGAGACGCCTCTTGTCCTGCTCAATAACCAGACTTTCTTCGTCAAGACGGAGTCGCTCGCGACGAATTGCGATCTCCCGCTCTTGAAGGCGACGCTTCTCTTGAAGTAGCTCCTGCCACTCTTCTTCCGTAATTCGAATGTTGCAGTCCCGCGCATTCTTCCGATGACAGTTGTTGCATCGACCCGACCGAGGGTGAATGCGACACGTATCCGCAACACCATCAACCATACAGTTCAAGCACGCAATAGGCATGACTTCTCCAAATTGATCGATATAGCGAATCTGTTCACGGCGATAGGAAGTACTGGATGTCTCGATATGCGCAGCTGGACGTTTGGGTTTAGAGACGCGAGGCATAATGGAAAGGCTTTGAGGACAAAGCCAAGTGGGGAGGGGAATAGTGTTACGGGCCGTTGTTTAACACACCGGTATCAGGCCCGTGCCACTGACGATCATTACTCTATTGGGATTGCTCTCTGTGTTATCCCGCCAAGCCGAAGGATTGAGCAGAGAGGACAGAGAACACTGCAGCCTGCTGCGGGGTTCTCTGCTCTCTCCTCTCTGTAATTTACGACAGAGAATACAGAGAGAACAGAGAACGACATTTGCTATGTGACCACCAAGTATATAGGTAGGCAGGTCTTCACTAGGAAGTCCTGCGTTCAACTCAATTAGTTATTCCAACAGTCCCTTTGGTATACACTACTACACACTACTTGCTTCACTTGTTCAATACTCCTCTTCACGAGTCCAACCACGTGACCTACGATCTCCCCTGCAGATAGTTGGCCATAACATAGGGGGTCCGGAAATGTCTAAAGATCTAAAGAGGCTAGAGGGTTAGTAGGACCTACGGGTTACGTAGTAGGGCCTTCCCCCTCTCCTATCCCTCCTCTAGTGCCTTTTTCGCCTTCTTATCTACCTACTCGTTACCGTACTACCCCTTATAGGCCGGTACCTACTATAAGGTAACCGTTACCCCTTCCTAGGCCTAAAGAGCATCGATATACTTACGGATGTATCGTACTACGTATTATCCGTATAGGCTTACCCTCTCCGTAATATATCGGATAGCTTACTTACTATCTATCGCGATAATCGTCTTTATCGGGTATAGCCTTCTCCTCGTTTAATATACTAGCGCTACCTCGATAGCTATAAGTTCTATAACTATCGAGTCGCCTACTACCTATCTAGGAAGTCGCTTTTAGGTAATAGTCTTCCTAGTATTCCCTTGCACTACTGCAATGCCACTCTCGCCGCTCTTCTATACTACGTTAGTATAGAATATACATCTCTCTTCCCTACCTACTTTCGATTATAGTCGTCGAATAACTATATCCGCCTCGTCTTCTAGTCCCTTAACTAGGCATCCCGGGACGCCCTCTGTCCACGGTTCTTGAAGCACTGGCTCTACGGTCTCCATTAGGCTTTCGGCCGTCAGGCCTAGATCCGGGCCAAACTTCCGCGCGGTGATAGCTAGCGGAGACGGGAAGCTCTTGCCTTGGGTGAATAGCCTAGTTAGGCAGTCGAATAAAGGATTTGTGTTTGGTACTGTAAGGCTCCTAACCAAATGGTTAGTAACCTTCCTTTGTAGCCGGTCGACTGTGGTTTCGATGCCCGCTTCGGCTTGAGCCACTGTAAGGGCTGTAGCCTTAAACGAGAGTATTATCGCCTGGGCTCCAATGCGCTGCACCTTTTCCATATTGCGGAGCAGCGAGGTTGTTCCCCACTTTCCAGGTCCGTACCATGCAGAAGCGCAGTAGTCCATGATCGGGGTAACCGTCGCATTGTACAGCTGTCTGACTTGTTTAGGCCTAACTCCTCGTAGTCGTTTGATAGCAAGGCACTGCTTCATAGCTTTGGCCGTCATCCTTGCTACATGTTGATGGAATTTCATCTTGCAGTCTAAGGTGACCCCTAACAGCTTGATGTGCTCACTTGGTTCGATGTCTTGGCCTTGGAACTGCAGGTCCGGTCCGTTTTGCTGGCCCTCTTCTACCCTTCGGGTGAAGTGGATAAGGCCTGTCTTTGACGGTTCGAACGTCGCTCCACTTTCTCTCGCCCACCTCTCGGTCTTTGTAATGACTGTCGTTTGGAGGGTCTGGATATTTTCGTCTACGTTGTCTCCCACGACCCACGGAGAGTAGTCATCAACGAACCCTAGGGCTCCCTTTGTCTTATCGATAGGTTGCCCAATGAGATTGGCGTTGTAGAAGATGTAAAGTATAGGGGATAGCGGTGACCCCTGCGGAATGCCAGCTTGAGCGATCGGCTGTCTTTCACTTTCGAACGCTTCGAGGGCGACCGTGGCCGTCCTTTCTTTGCAGAAGTCTCCAACCCAGCTGCTCAGGGTATCGGGTATTCCTCTCCGTTCGAGCCTTGCTTCCAAGCACTCTAGGGTTAACCCCGTTAAACGCCCTTGGACGTCGAAGGTCACTAGAGACACGACCTTCCTGTTTCTCCAGGCCTCGTATACGCGTTCTACGAGAACGTTGATCGCTTGCTCGCACGATCTCTTCTTCCTAGCTCCGAAATGGTTATCTGGAAGAAGGTTGTGTCTCTCTGCCAGGTAGGCGAGTCTGTTCGCGACCACCGCCTCGAGGCCTTTGCTAATCGTAGCTAGTAGTGAGATAGGCCGGAAAGCCTTTGGCACTGTGTAGTCGGGTTTTCCAGGTTTTCGTAGAGGGACTATCCTCGCCGTTCTCCAGCTGTCTGGAAGATGGCTTAGACGTAGCGATGCCTTGTACAGGGCCATTATGCTACCCTTTGCCTCATCCCATACTTTCTGCCAGACTAGGAACGGTATGTCATCTGGCCCTGGTGCCTTTTTCGGACTTGATCGGAAGATCGCCGCGCGGACTTCGCTTTCTGTGATCTCTTCATAGGTCCTCGTAGGTAAGGGAGCCTCTACGCCTTCTAGGCTCTCCCCTTCGGGCTCCGGTTGTGGTAGGAAAAGGCTTGGAGGAGTACCGTTGCTTTTCCTTCATCGTCGTCGACCGGCCCTTGGGTTCCTTGTAACGTAGGAACACCCCAGATCCTGCGTCCATGCGAGTGTACCTGTTGGCCTTCCACACGTTCTCTGGGCTGTCCACAAACTTCCTCCAGTGGGCAGCCTTCTGACTCTGCTATTTGTGAGAGGTAATCTTTTCGGACTGCTTGGATCTGTTGATGTAAGTCCCTGCAGTTTGAGTCTCTCCTTCTCCGTTCTGTCTCCTGGTTCCGTAAAGATGAAAGTGTAAGCCGGAGTGCCGTAAGGGATGGTGTCCACCACCTTTTGCGTTTGGATGAGGTTTGGCGTATGGGATCTTATCTGCGACTATCTGGGTAATCGCTTCAACAAACCTCTCGGCCTCGTCGTTAAGCTGCTCTTTCGTCGAGATCTGTCGAGGTCGAGGTATGATACTAACTGCCTTGCAGATGTTTCCCCAGTCTGCTTTGTCGTAATTTCTCCCTAGTCTCCTCGTCGTCCTAATCTCCCAGGGCATCTGGAAGCGGGCCTCTATGACCCTGTGGTCGCCTCCGTGGTCTGTATCGGAGGGTTTGCACTGGATCATAGCCGCCTGTAGTCCTGGTGACACCAGGACTAAGTCAATAGTAGTCGGGTGTAGTCCGTTGTTGTGCGAGAAGGTGATCGTGCCTCTCGGGAGCATAGAGTCCAATTCTTCTTCGACCATGAATTGTAAAATGGGCCAGTCGTCCTTTCTTCTGTCTGGCGCTACTTCCTTCCCTCCCCACACATTGCTATGACGGTTGAGATCACCCCCTACGTATACGTGGAGGGCGCTATCTGTTTTCTCCCGGGTTTTCTGTATAATGTCTTGGGCGCAGCTATACGCTCCTGTAGGTCGATCTCTTCCCGCGGTCTCTTGTATGGGACGTAGATCGATATGAGCAATATCGACGCACCTTCCACTTGTAAAGTCACCGCTGCTACGTCTGGCGACGTGGTCTCAACTTCCTGGTGCTTGATTCTGTCCGACACCCAGATCGCTGCTCGGAACGAGAATCGTACCGAGCTTGCCTCCTGATTGTATGTTTTCGGTGTAATCGTCGTCCACCCACTGTGTTGATTGACTATGGGTTCCCCTGTCCTAGGATGAGCAAATATGTATGGTTCTGAGATGCACATGGCGTCGAACGTTGCCGTGCTATCGTCGTTGAAAATGCTCATAATGGGGCCTGGCCTAGCCCCTACGTTCGCCTGTAAGATGCTTATCTGGTGTCCTAACATCTAATAGGGGACTGAGTCGCCTGTGGTCTNCGTATCAGGTGCTTGTTGTCTTGCCTCCTTGTGTCTCGGGTTGGCGACGCATCTCCTATCCATAATAGAATGGGGTCCGTTACACGCCGGACACTTAGGGTTACCTTTGTCCATACAGTCCCTGCTCTGGTGGTTCCCTGAGCAGTGGCCGCATTNGGCGGGTTTGGTGCATCTGAACTGGTAATGGCCGTAGCTGTTACAGTTGAAGCACGGGTCGTTGTTCTCCTTTGCCTCATACGGGGCCGCGAATCCAGCTGTGGGTCCAAAGATGACGGTCATCTTCCTCAGCAGATAGGCGGCTGCCTCTCNTTTCTTTAGCCATACAATCATCGACCCGTTAACCTTGTCTGATGGTCTACTGATCCAGACAGCCTTCATAGCTGTACAGTCGATGTTGTCCTTACTATTGTCGGTCGCGAAGTTGGCTACAATTTCTGGCTTTAGGGTCTTCGGTCCTCCGGCCGGGTCGAGTACAACACTCTTCGAAATGCCGTCAACCTTGATTGGGTACCAGGTCTCGCCGCGGATGCGGGCTCCTGGCATCGCTTTCTCAATCCATCTAGGATTGTCGCGTGTGCGCTGGGCTTGCTCGACTGTGGCCAGACAAAGTTCCACTTTGTTAGTGTAGATCTCACGGAGGAATTCGACCTCGACGTCCTCGGTGTTCGGATTCTCTTGAAGAGCCTTAATCCATTTGCCTTTTACCTTGTTCAAGTCGTCTTTGTCTCCGCGGGCCCTAGAGATGTCAATCTCTATGGTCTTTCCTTCGTTGGCTAGAGGTTGGGCGTTATGACTAGTGTCAGACTCCGAGAGGAGCTCTGTCCTAGCCGAGTGCTGGAGACTCGGTCCTTTCTGGCTTGCGACTTGAGACCATGTCCTACGGGGCTGAGTCGATGGCGAGTTGGTCGTGGCCGTGGGACTCGCGGATCCGGCGATAGACAGCTGTGTTAGCTGTTCTTCCATCCGATAGATCGCTTCGTTCATTTCTTTAATCTTGCTGTCCTCTAGTTGCTTCTGGAGTTCCTGAACCTGTTTTGTAAATTTCTGGTGTTCATTCTGGTGTTTTTCGGTGATTTTCTTAATTTCTTCGTGGTGCTTTTTAACGATCTTCTCGGTTTCTTCCTGGTGTTTTTGAAGATTCCTTCGGTTTCNTTCATGGTGTTTTTCGTTGATTTTCTGGGTGATATTCTTAATCTGGTCGATGTGCGCGCCTTGAATCTCTCGGATTGCGGCGTTGTACTTTGCGTCCTGTGTGGCCTGGGCTCTGTTGAACTCGTCGACAATCGCCCTCACCAGTTCTGCGTTGCTGATCCTGCCTGCGCTATTGAAGATAACCGGGTCTCCGACTCGAATTTCGTCCGCCTCTGTTTCTTCCCTCATCCTCTTCGAGCCTCTCCTTACTGATCTCGTCTTTCTAGCCATACCTGCGCCCGTTGGGGTGCCAAGGCTGAAGCTTCGAGCTTCCCCCGCATCCCCATAGCTGGCGTCGCTTTCCATCGCACCTGCGACCGTTGCGACGACGTCTCCTCGTGTAGTTCTTCGATTCGGCTGCTTTAAATTCGTATATCCTCACAATAAATTGTAAGGTGTCGTTTTCCTCCTCACCTCCATGCCACGAACAATCCGACCTTTCAAACATTTTGACCCTTCCTCCGGAGTTTTGCCGCAACATCGAACCTTTTCAAATGCACACAACCTCATAGCCTCTATACACCTTTGCATGTTCGTTAGACCATATTTTCTAAGCTATCCACATCTTAAGATTCCATCTTAACTATCTAGCAAATTATTTCTAGCAAAGAAACATCGTGCTGCTAATAGCATAGTGTATCTCCGGCATCTGGGGGTTGCTAAGCTGACGCGCTAGTTCCACGCGCCGGATAGCGCGCATCGCGTCCTGACCACTACGCGTTCTACACTTCTTAGACATTTCTTACCTTACCTTGAGCCATCTTTTGGACATGCCTACCCTCTAACTTCACATTGATTGCCATCAAACTCTAAGCTGCTTCTTTTCGTCACTCGTCATCCATGTTGTTTCCTAAGGACGAATTCGATGCTTATCTTACCCATCTGCCACAATACAAAATCATAATCTGCAGGTCGTGTCGGTTTGCAGTCCCTCCACAGGCAATCAAAAGCCATTTGCAAGCTCAGCATTCGCCCGTCAGTAGTCAATCGATCAGAGGAATCCAGTCCATCATCGACGATCTAGGCGACTCTGTCGCACGATCCGCCCAGGACGTTATATACCCAGATCCAGATGCGGAGCCTATCGAGTGCCTTAGAACGTATCAAGACGGGCTCATGTGTACAAGCCTTGATAGCGCCGGCCGGCAGTGTGGTTATATATGTAGGTCGGTTGCTGGGATGCAGCAGCATTGCAAATCTGTCCATGAGTGGGTAAACCCAAATAAAAGAGGGTGGCGATGTGCGTGCAAAAGCAGCACAGACTTGGATCGTCCCGTGGGAAAGTTGTTCTTGCTGCCAGACGTTCTTCCGTAACAACCTCTGGATACGATTCTTCAAGGTGAACCCTAAAACACCTCAGCTTTTAGGTCCACGACAAAATGATCCTCGCGGACAAGCTGGAGTTTTCAGATCTGAAAAGACACAATCTCCTTGCACATCCTATCTACGCTTGAATCAAAAGAGGAGGCATACCGCTTGTCTTGTCAACAGATTAGTGATCAAGGCCAGACGAAAGTTGATTTCTCTCCTTGGTTAGAGATGACAAGATGGACTAGGTATGTGAACGGTCACGCCTTTGCCACCCTAGCACCGCTCGCCCACCTTGCGGATCCTACAAAGGAGGCCCTTATGTTTCAGCTAGGAGAGAGCTTAGATCGGATTGTAGAGCAAGCATACGAGTCTATCTGCCAGGACAAGATCAACGTTTTCGATCAAACAAGGATTAATAGCTTTATGCAGCGTCCACGGGCCTTTGACCGACCACTCATGGTCAAGTTACAAAAAGCATCTTATCGTCAGTACAAGGGCCTATGGAAGCGCTTGATCTGCTTTGTCTGTCGGACAATAGCATTTAATCAGGGCATCGAGCTCGCACATCAACTCACACCAAAGCAAGGTGCCTTGCTCGATCGGCTTCTAGCTAAAGGGGAGAAGCTTTTGTCGTTTGTACAAGAAGTCGATACACCTTTGGCAAGCGAAAATCATTCTAGGGGCCATGACATTACGCAATTGGAGGCAGAACTCGATCGCGAATGCCTTCTTTTTGCATATCTCTACTTGATCATACGCTTAAGGGTGATCTCTTCGAGAGTGTGGTTGTTGGGTTTTTCGCTATAATGGCGATTGATGAGAAAAAGGCATCTTCATGGACGCAAACGCCTTTACACCTACCTTGTCTCGCTTTATCAAAATCAGTCAGATGCTCGTTGCACAAAGAGCCGTTTTGGCAGTCGCAGAGGGTGAGGTAGACGACCCTTGCGACCTTCTTGACGATATGCGAGATAGGTTTTTGATCCATGGAA